ATCATCATGACCACCATTATTATTATCATCATCATCATCATCATCATCATCATCATCATCATTAAAGACTCTGACCTGTGTCCATGTGGTCAAGTTCAGGACTGCTGAGCACATTCTGAATGAGTGTGCGGTAGCAGGACCCGTCCCCTCATTATTATTAACCACCCAAAACTGGTGCCGTATCCATATTCAAACAACGGTCCAGTTTTTAATAGCTACGGTTGATATACAAAATAATATAATTATCATCATCATCCCCAATATCATCATCAACATCATCATCATAATGATCAGCATTATAAAAGTGACCATTATAACGTATTGGGAGGATTCATTAAAGCTTCTGATACCTTTTACTTTGAAAAATTTAAATGGATTGCTCACCTGCATAATACTCAAGATCCCCCTCCGTCACTATGGCACCCATTTCGGAGGCAGAAGAGAAGTTCCTTGTTGAAAGAGGGAACCCCGAAATCCCAGACACCAGCTCCATAATTGGAAAGGCTGGGTAAGTGGACAGAAAAACGATCACATTAATCTCTTATTTAGGGGCTATGATGATAAAACATACAATACGGTATATAGGCACGTTAATTTCCAAAGGTATTATAGTGAAGAGAGAGAGAAATAGCTTAAGAGAGAGACAAACAGAAAAATAAAGAATACCAAAAAAAAAAAAAAACTAAATTAACTAATTTCTCTGCAACACTACAAACCAGCTACTTGATTGACACTTTTAATAAACAAAAATATCAATACAGTAATAACGTTTACATGTATTATCAATTTTCCATCTATCAAAAGGCTAATTCTATGTGTGCTCTCACCATACTCAAAGATTCATTCATTATCAAATTGCCAACATATGGTTGCCATGGTAATAGATGAATTTTGTTTCTAGTTATCCTTGGAGAACACCTTAACCACAAAGAGCTGTAAATCTATTTTTACAGCGAGAAGCTCAACAGGATAAGAGAAAACTGACTAAGAGGTTTCTGTATGTGAACATGCACATGTGTGGTGCATATACTGAATGCCATATGATGAGATATTTTTTAGAAAGTGAGAAAAATAAAGAGGTGAAAGAGAAAGAAAGAGGGGGAGAGAGGGAATGTAAGAGTGTGTGTATGTGTGTGTGTGAGAGAGAGAGAGAGAGAGAGAGAGAGAGAGAGAGAGAGAGAGAGAATGAGAGAGAGAGAGAGAGAGAGAGAGAGAGAAAGATACTAGATATATTAATTTACATCATTCTGCAATAAATTCAGATACTGCTGTACACTGGGTGCTAGGTGGTTATTGCAATCCTCACACAGTTAGAAAGCATAGGACTTACATGTACATGTATAGATAAAAAAAAGCAGAAGAGGATATGTGTTCAATCTCATTCTTAAATTATTGAAGATGATTGAAAATGTCTGTTCACAATATTTAGGGATGCCTATTTCCAGATATTAATAAGCCATGTAAACACTTTGTAATAAAGAGAAATCATGAGAAAATAAAGAAAGAAAAGGGATGAGGTAGGTAGAAAAATAGAATGGTATTTGATCTGGTTGAATACCATGCAGATCAGTAGGGGAAAGGAGATACAAAGATTTGAACAATGCAACAAATAGGACCTGTAAAATAGCGCAAACAAAAAAGCCTTGATTGGGATTAAACACAGAAAGTGGTGAAAAGTCATCTCTATCTGTCACTGCATGAGCAGAACAAAGATTTACAGTGTCATTCTCTTCCAGCTTAGAGCCACACAAAAAATCTATTCATTACAGGGAATAGTTCAACCCGAAGCCAAAAGTGCACTGGGGCATGATTATGCAACACATTCCTTTTCTGTGGTGCCATCCCTAAATATATATATAGAACCCTGTCACGTGAACAGCCTGGTGTGAGCGTACTCGATCTGGATCAATAATTATATTGTGTAGAGTCTATTTAATTCATAAGAGGAACTTCCATAGACTTTGCTGTGTGTCTTGGTGATATCAATAGTAAACAGATATATGTGATGTCCTCTAAATGCATATATAAACAAGTACAGTATGTAGGGCGACAGTAAATACAAATTTTTATCACATATATGCAAAGAAGGCCTTTTTAATTTCTTGCTGCATGATATACATGTATTAACAACATATAATGTATCACAACATAACTTGATCAATCATCTACTTTTTTAGCTGTCAAAATTAATTTCAATTTCTGGGCTTTCCAGTTGAAAATATATCAAGCAAAATACATTTCAGCAGTCTTTACTTCCTGTCCCTTCCTTCTTTTATTATCAAAGCATTAAAAAAAAAAAAAAAAATCCTCGGCTTTCATAAAATCCATATACATGTATGTGTTCTATTTCAGCTGAATAATCATGGAGCGTCTTCAAAATGCATTACTTTTAATATATTCAGTGCTTCATAGCCTTGTAATCCAACCAGATTCATACCTAGCGTACATGCACATTGTCCATCCTTGAGTTACATCATACATGTATGTCTTGCAAGCAGCATCCAATTAATTTATGACCAGAGATCTTCATTACAGATTATACCATATGGTGGAGTTGAAGACTTTAATTGGATTTCTTTTTGTCCTTCCATCTTTTCAACTGAGCAACAGACAATAACTAAAAAATGAAATTCAGACACCTAACTTGAATATACATTATTAGTAAGTAAATTAAAAAGCTTCTGGAATTGCACGCCATAACAGAAAAATAAAAATAACCATGATGGCAGCTAACTGTGAGTATACTGTATGGCACAGATATAAAAGCAAAAGTTGGATCTAAAAGACATCAGTTAAAGATCTATTTTACATTACATGTGGTTCCTTTATATAGATGGAGTATGTCTGAATCCTAATTATGGTTCATCATTTCAATGGCAACACTACCACATAAACAAGGCAATAACAAAAAAAGGGTGTAATGCTGAAAGAGTTCGCACAGATAATCCTCCCATTAGCTAAAACAGAGGACGGAAAGTGCACAAGTAAAATGAGAAGATTGCTATTTGAGAGAAAAAGAGAAAACCTACATGAGAAAACTTGTCTGTAATAAATTATGAAAGATAGAATATATACATAACAGATTGCACACTGCAAGTATATTACCGGTATACAAACATGCGTTTGGGTATAAAAGAAGATATCTTAAGGCAAGAGTATTATCACCATGGTTACTCTAATACATGTCACTTTGCATACAAAGTCTGAAACTTGATAATGGGTGGAGTACTGTGATGGAATCATTGCCATAGCAACTCAACCCTTTGAAGAAAACAAATTATGTGATCATGAATGCACAATTGACCTGTGGAATCACACGCACACATCCTGTCAAAATTTCAACATATACCTGACAAGAACAAACAGGGCATTGAAAACTGAAGAGGGTATACAGAAATGAAAAAACACATCTTTTTTCTCCACAAATGGTCAAAAGATGCAATACTTAGGTATCTGTCTATATTCCCCCCCCCCCCCAAAAAAAAAAAAATAAATAAATAAATAAATAAATAAAAAATAAAAAATAATAATAATAATAACAGTAATCAACAAAACATATCAATGCCATCCCCTTTTAAAAGTTAAAAAAAATAAATGCTGAAATATAAATCTTAAAGGGATCATTTAACAATATTAAATCTGAGAGCTTGTAGATCGCTGAAATATGTATTTTTTTGTTTTGCCTAAATTTTTGTAAGTTAGGATTGTCAAATATTTACACTGTACATACTGTAGATCTCATGTATTAATGGTTTTCAGAAGATACCTTTATTACATCATTATTATAAATCTTTTCATGATATCTGTCATACTTGTTATTACACATCATTATAAGAATACACCAGTTTACGGTTATATCAGTGCGCATGCACAGACAGTTGACCTCGGGTCATTGGCCCTGAAACAAAGCCAATGACCTGAGGTCAGTGGTATTTATGCGTAAATTAAGATTGCGGCCATGCAAATGATGTGCGCGCACAATGCAGCGCGTAGGCAGTGATATCATCATAATTTGCATGGGCGCAATCTCAATTTACGCATAAATACATGACCTCTAGGTCATTGGCTTTGTTTAAAATGGCGCACACAACCGTAAACTGGTGTATTAGTAGAAAGTATAAGAGGTTAACATTCATGTGTGGGTCAGAACATACAGCACTGGCAAATGTTACATAATAATAATAATAATATTTAGTTTTTATATAGCGCGTAATATAATGATACCTTCTAGAATCTCAAGTCGCAAACTCATAATTTTCTAAGAGTTCTGAAAAGAGCAAACAGAAAGCTGGTCTCTCACATACAAAAGTGTGGGCGTATGTGCTGAGCCTGATTCCAAGCAATAAATGCCATGACAAGAATGTCACTGCCATTTTTAGAATTTAAATATTGATTCTAAGGGCTAAGTGGTGAATGTTGATGAACAATCAAAGAGAGGGTTAGAGTGACAGTGAGAGAAAGAGGGTGAGAGTGAGAGAAAGAGAAGTGAGAGAACGAGAAGTGATAGAGAAATGAGTGAGACAGAGAGAGACAGAGAAAAACATGACTGATAGAGATGAGAGACAGATGGAAAAAGCTGAGAAGAGGGGATAGAGAGAGGGGAGCTAGGGAGATGACGAATGTGATATAATGAGTCTGTGAATAAAGAATCAAATACATTTTTTACATATAATGTATACACAATGGGTAAAATAGCTTCAATTCATGTACCGGTATGTTGTTTATAATTTAAAGAGAAGGAGATCAGAGGAAACTCTTCAAAGTGGCCACACACACACAAACACACAGGCCAAATAATAAACATGTAATATACATGTACATACATGTACTTGCAATCACACAAAATAACACAATTCAATATCAATATGTACTTACTGACAGTGTTGTTGGGATAGAAAGCAATGGCTGGACATGATGTTCCATTTGCTATACATCCTTCTATCGTACTTAGATCATCCAGACTGAAGCCATGGCCAGTATCCACAAATTCCTCGTCAAAAGTAGCTGGAAAATTGAATAAAAATTCTCTAATTAATTTCACTTTACTTCTCTAAAAGATCCAAGTTTTTACAAATGTAGTGCCTAAAATGTAGCTACATGTAGATACAATTTTAAATAGTATCGAATTTGGCAAAAGCCTTGACTAAAGATTTTTTTTTTTTTAAAGGAGAAAATGTAGTAAAATGATTTTGCTTTCTCTAATTTTCTACAATAGAAACAAAGCAATATGTACTACAAGTATTGATAACAATTTTCTTTTGGTATAATATACTTTTTCCCCAATTACTCAACCACAGGTTATCTTGAACTGATCTATACATCATCACAACATTTCTATATCATAAATATGTCTTCAAATCATCCTGCAGTACAGAACATTAAAATAGAATGAGCAGTGGAGACATTAATTTACATCTTCACTTTTTTTCTCGACATTCAATTTATTATCATTTAAAATATAATCAAACAGAGTTTCATGATTTGTTAACAAATCTACATACTGTACATGTATATTGTAAGTGAAAACAGACTAAACAGTAAATTACAAGAAGTTAATTGCATGACTCCATGTGGGACAAAAAAAAACTCTGGTGAGAGTGAAAATATGATTTACAACATTCTTCACACTCTTTTCTCTCAATTCAATTTACAAAAAAAAATCAAATTAAGTTTCATTACTTAAAAAAAAAATCAAACTGAGTTTTAAAACCTGACATTACTTATGACTGTGATCGGATCTACAGGTGATCACTCACAACATCTTGATACCATATTGATACAATTTGTTTAGTTTCATTCTTTATTACACTATGTCTGGTGCATCTCAGGTGGCTAGATTAATTATTCAATATAAAAAATACTTAAGACAGGTCTACACTACATACACAATACAATGAACTATTTTTGAGCACATAAAGAGAGAGAGAGAGAGAGAGAGAGAGAGAGAGATTTTACAAAAAAGAGGAAAAACTAATAAGGGAGACATTGGCACATGTAACTCATTACGGTACTTACTGAAACACTTCTCATCAATTTTGATCAGGTTCCTGTGAGGGTAAAGGTATGAAAAATAAAATGATTAAATGAGTTTTCTTGAATTTTAAATTGACAGTTAAAAGTGAGTGTCAGAGTATTAATAAAATCAGAAGGCTACTTTGTATATTACTTACTTGTAATAAACTGATTGGAGAAGGAAAATGAAACAAATCAATTTATTTTATCGCATTTGTAAGCCCACACAAGTTGAGAAAAGGAAATATTTGGGTACATGTCGCTACAGTTCAATAACAACCAAATTATACCCCTTGTAAATTTGATGTTTTTGTGTTTTTCATAACTCGAGAATAAAAAAAAGGACTGGTTAAATTAAGCCTTTGATGAATACTTTTAGATGTACATGTAAGCTTTAATATGCCACATTCTGAAGAATCATAAATGAAGACAAATCAATTTTTAATATACTTATAAAATTACAGATCTTGGTAAAGGTATGAATGATTTCTTTTTAATTGTTAAAAAACACCCCAATCTCAAGTCTCAATGGAAGCTCTTATTACCAATCATGTGAAAGAATATGTTTTGGCTAATACATGATGATACTACTTTTGCCGGGAAACGGCCTACTACATGTAATTGATATATTTGGTAAATTATCATATCGATCCAGCCTGGACATTCAACATTGAACATTTGGGGATATATATTTCTGCTTTTTTGCAAATTTAGGTTGAAGTATTGCCATCTAAACCTCTGAAAGGAATATTTGAACAATATTGAATGGATATTTTGCACCCGAAACCCTTGAACCGCAATTTTACCACTACCGGTCTACATGTATATCTTGAACTGTATGTAAAAATGAACGATATATTTCTTGATTATGTCACTCCAGATTGTTTTACAGCCATTATACATTTACATACATGTACATGTATATCAAGTCATGTTTTTCATTTTCAGGCAATGCAAAAAAGGTGAATTCAATGAAGCCCCACAATAATGCATACCACAGTACATGTATGTAAGCTACAATTCTTCTTTTACTTCTTATTAGAAACAAAATATGTGTGATAAATTCATTTTCTTTTTGCTGTTGACAATTTGTACACCGAGTTCTATTATTCTCAATACAAACACAATTGTCCGATCCCGAGACAGCAGCTCATTGGAAGATCAACAATGGAGCTCTCCCTACCTGTCACGCCACTATTACATGTATTAAAGTACTTACTCTACCGGAACACACACTGTAATTGGTGTGTCTATTCACACTTCATGTTTGTGTAATATGGAAAATTAATGGATTTTGGCAATGGTCAGAATAGGGCAATGCTGGATGAATTAAATTACTACTTCTAGCACCAATACCAACCAATATGAGAAAAAGATGGTGGTAAACTAAAATTTACCTTGCATAATTCAATTGAAGATATACTTCTAAAATATTTCAGGCAATTTTATAATTGTTTAAAATGCCAATGCCCTGACCACACTATAATGTAATTGTTCAAAACTAAACATCTAAACTATTCCCAGATTATGTATGTCAATCTTGATCCAGTCATACTCCACGATACTGGTAATCATACGACAGTGAAAGAAATTTGCTAAAATGTAATCATTTTTTAAAGTGCAAACATAATTACTGCCAACATAATTTACATGAAAGTGAACCAAGGCACATTCAACTTAGTCAGTTGATGTGAAATACCGTTTGACATGTATGATAATGCATCTTCTGATAATACTGCTATGTACCATTGAAGCATACATTATGTAACATCACATCATGATATAATGTTCCTATGCACTACCAAAGCGGTTTTAAAAAGTTAGTGTATATAAATATTCTATGTGCATGCACTCATTTTTTTATAATTGCTAATGTCTGTAGAGCCAGGACGTACGTCATGTAATAAATAAATTATGATGAACAAGTCATTTCCTTTTTGCAAGTCATTTTGAATTGTCAGGCCTCTACCACAACCAATATGAAGGAAGGAAGTTGAATATGCAATAAACTTCTAATTTGTCATTTCATACTTTAAACAGACCAGCTAACCTCTGGAGTTCACAAACTGTATTCTTTAATCCCAAAAGTTGTTTTTTACTGACAAAAGTTGTATTCTTTAAAAAAAACATGGAATGTTACGCAGATCAATGCCTCTTACAGTTCCTACATACAGGAAGAAATTTTGTTATGGATCATTGGTTGAATATGCATGATTTCGTCATGGTGTGTTCGATGAACCAATGAACATCCCAAATTGCCGATGTGAGATGCTTGTAGGATACTTTACAGGACAGAATGGGCATTTTGCCATTGAAAATGTCACACAGACACACACACACAAAATACATGTACCATCAACAACAAAAACACACAAAAAAAAAATTGTAGTATATTTATAAAAATCGTATTGTCGTATTTGCTTCTAAAAATTGTACGAAATACGACTAAATCGTACTGGTTGGCAGGTCTGTTTAAATAAAACAGAATATATGTGACTTTCATTTGGGAAGAGATTGATCCTCCTGGTATTTTGCGTTGACTTAGCCAGAGTTTAAAACAATAGACCATTTTCAAATATAATCAAAGTTAATGCATTTAAGTCTTTGTTAAGTGCCTTACAAATTATTTAATTAACCTGCTACAATGATTGTATTTCAATAGTCAGAATGCAAATTGTTTGAAATAGGAGCTCACTAAGTCTATGCGAAACTCAAATTGACAGTTTGGTCAGTGGATTTTTGACGAATTTTGACATAGTCACAGATAATCCCACGTTTGTCGTTTACAAAAATATCATTTCTGTTTTTCTCCAAAGTGCCTTTTTTCCTATGGGGTACTACCGTATTTGCCGGCGTATAGGCCGCAGTATTTTTGGAAGAGAAAATATCAAAAAGTCGGGGTGCGGCCTATGCGACGAAAGAGTAAAATTTTTTTTTTTTTTTTTTAGTTTTTTTTTTTTAGTTTTTTTTTTTTTAGTTTCGATTTATGGCGCTATGCCTGGCAATGTCTCCCAGCTCAGTAATCAGTGTGTTGACTCACCACTCGGAAACTACAACAACACTAAAATTTGACTGTCTTGATTTGAAAGTAATCTTTCTAATAGATCTCAATATGTAGTTTATAATAATAGTTCCTCAAATTTTTTTCTATAACAAATGGTGTACCACAAGGTACACCACTGGTACCATAGGTACTTTATTGTTTTTAATTCACATTAATGATCTTACACATTCTTCTAAAAACGACATTGTTACTATTATTTGCGAAAAGTTTACAAGCACAAATCAGCGCCTTTAACTGCACCTCGATGTTAAATGAAGGTCCTTCCACGCGTGGGTTTTCGGCAGCAAAACAACAACTACAACCAAAAAAAAATTTTTTTTTTTTTTTTTTTTTTTTTTTTTTTTTTTTTTTTTTTTTTTTTTTTTTTTTTTTTTTTTTTTTTTTTTTTTTTTTTTAAATGTCAAAATCGGGGGTGCGGCCTATGCGGGGGTGCGGCCTTTACGCCGGCAAATACGGTACTCAAAACATATTATCATAGGTCCTCTAAAGAGAATAGGACCTCCTGAGTCATATATTTTTGAGAAATTAACTTTTTTCTAGTCATTTTGTGCATTGGAACAAATGAGAAAGTTGTCTGCCCCTACATAACAGAGATATTACGGATTCAGCCAATTTGAAGTGTCCGGACTTATAGTGAATACAACTTTTAAAACTTAATTTCTTTCTCATTTTTTTCTTCTGATTTCATTCCAACTCTCACTAGTCTACTTTCCTCTAGAGTTGTTAGCTAATTTCCCTTTAAAGACACTGGGTAGCCAAAGGATGATAAGAATGACAAGTGGAATACAAGTAGCTTTAGTGCTTTTGATTTTCAAAAAGTGAAAAAAATAAATATTCACAGCATTGTTTAAAAAAAATTCATAATACTTTATAACTTCAAACAATTGAGTTATTAACAATCAAAAGTGTCAAAAGATTATTTTTTTTTTACACCTAGCATAGTGGGACTTTGTAACGGAATAATGTTAAAGCTGTAGTTTGCCTACCTTGCCAATAGAAGGAGTGATGCACAGGCTATGGGGACCAAAATCTCAAAGGTTGTTCCAATTGGCCTCCGAAACTGCAGAAAAACAGTAAAGAATCAATTACAATGGCTTGGAAATTCATAGCTATTTGCATACCAGTGTGAATGTCAAAGTCTTACACTTACCGGTAGTAAATTTAAACTATTAGGACTTACAGTAGTTTGCCAAAGCTCTGTTCACTCCACAACAGAATAAGTAACGGTAAGAATTATTTTAGTTAGCCTTGAAGTCTGGTACTCATCTGCAATCTTGGCTTGAGCTTGCCTTGCTTGTTACCCTTCTGTAGTATTCATCTTATTTACAATGTTGTATGGTACATGTATTGTCAGCAAGAACAATTCATACAACATAGATCTATATATATATATATATTTTTTTTTTTATAAATCAAATTGAGTTTCATTGTTTAGTTAAAAACGAACAGACCCTGATAATAAAAAGGTAAAAACAAAATATATTTTTAGTCATCTAAATATAAGGCACTTGAAAAGAAAATCTCAAACTCTACTGTGATCTTAAGAATTAGAATATAAAAGATTATTATATAAAAGTTTAGTGTCTTCACTGTGAAAGATCAAGGATAAAACTTACTAAAGTTGCGAACATTAAAGATAACTTGACATCGCAATATTTAAATTTCATAACCTAGGAGACAGTCCCTTAAAAATTACATTTCTCATATTCTTATTTGTAGTGTGAGCTCATGATGTAAAACAGATTTTGTAATAACAATGTCAACCTCTGGAGTTCAAAAACTGTATTCTTTAGTCCCAAAAGTTGTATTTTACTGACAAAAGTTTTTTTTTTGATCAATGTTCCCACATACAGGAAGAATTTTTTTCATGGATCATTGGTTGAATATACATGATTTCGTCATGACTGGTGTGTTCCATGAACCAATGAACTTCCCCAAATTGCCGATGTGAGATGCTTGTACGATACTTTACAGAACAGGATGGGCATTTTGTCATTGAAAATGGCACACACACACAAAAAAAATACCCCCCAGAAGAAATTATTTCAAAATTTGTATTTACTCTACCAAGAATAGTTAAATCCAAACAAATCTTACCTGAAGAATAAAGTTCTTCCATAACAGGAGACCAAACTGGTTTAATCGCCTCCCCATTGTTGTTTACACAGCTACGCTCCGCTTAACCTCCAACATGTGATGTAAGTCTGTCAGTTCACTTTATATAATCAAAGTCTTTCAATTCCTGTTTCGTTCAGTTTTCAACGGAGTTGTCTCAGTTTTCCTAAAAGAATTGTTGTTAGGGGATAAATTGAAATGAATTTAGTATGGTTGCTGCTTTATATCTGGTAATCAAGACCTAAATGAAACATAAGTTATGATAAAAATATGAAGACAGCAGATTCATATTACAAGATTTTTAAGCCATTAAGGGAGTGAATTACATTATCATAAATAATTGCCCATATATTTATTTTGCAAAGATTATATACTGTACAATGTAGAATCCTACTGTATATTATACTTAAAGCCAATCATGTAAAGTGCATTCATTTGGATTAGTAATTGACGATCAGCCAAGCACAAAGAAGATGAAAGACTTGATCAACGAAACAGAGTTAAGTCTTTTGTCAACTCTGTTCGTTGCTACGGCAGGCAGCAAGTGAAAACAAATTTGTTTAATCAAATTATGAAATGCAAGCATTACTTTAAACCAACAGAATTTTGTTATTCCTGGCTCATTTTTCCTGATTGAGGTGTTAATGAAAGGGCAGAAAATGAAATTTCTAGAAATTTGATTTTTCACTTGAAATTCAGATACTGCCCTAAAAATGAGTTTCCTCTCTTCAAATTGTTTTTAATCACTCTTGTGTGAAATATGCATCATATGAGTTGCATTAAATGAAAGTGGAGGATCTAAGCTTTACAAATATATGTCATTTATTTATTATAATTGTGGTCAAGTTATGATAAATCATCGATAATTCTCGGTTTTGTTTTTTCTGGGACAAAATGTACATGTACATGCAAAACAAATTAACAAAACTGAAATAATTGTATGTTTTACAAGAAGCAACTATTTCTCAACCGTTGTCATAATTTTGGTGAAATATTGATCTTTTTATATCGTTTAAAGAACCATTTTCCCTATTCCAATTTTTAAATGCCACAGCGCAACTCCAGGCAGGGGTGTTGGAAGACCATTTTCAGTACTGTAGGTCAGGCAGCATCAACACACTTGTTGAATAATGATTTAGTTTGATCACCAACACCCTAAACAAAAACGAAAATAATAATGGGGTCAAGATCATAATCTGTCAACAAACTTTAGTCAATGAAAGAAAAAGACAAATGGTCACCAAGTTTTGTAATTGCTCAAAAACGATACAGAGTTACAGAAAATACGGTAATTAAATTTCAAATCTGACAGGCAGAGAATTGTGAATGGGGAACACAACACACCCACTACTACAGTGTAGATCTATGCCACTAGTACTGGCACTAGTGCATAATAATCAATGCTAAAGTTATGGAGGTCCCTTTTGTTTGCCCTCTTGAGAAGTTTGAGAAAAATTATTTTATAGACCCTAGCTGGTCTAAGTTGTCTCACAATAACAAATTAAAAATACTTTCAGTGTGCGACAAATTCAAGACTATAGCTGCTTACGAGCGACTGTACTTTGAACAGATTTCACGTGGAATCAAAATGTCATTTTGGACTTTGTCCCAGCGATGACACGCCCATTCCATCGGGCCTGTCTAATTCTCAACGTCATTTAGTGACCATAAAATTTAACTTTTAAAAGTGTTTCAGGGCTCTAATACATACGATTTAGCGTAGATCTAGACTCTAGATCTAACTTAGATTTAGAAGGAATCCCCATCAATCCCAAGGCCCAACTTTCATTTATGGAGCTAAATATCTCCTTTTTTATGACACTTCAGGAGTTGGGTGAGTTGGCTTTATAGTTATCATGACAATTGCTTTCTATTAAACCTAGACTAGATCTAGTTCCAACAAACAGAAATGCCTAATTTAGATTTTAGATGTTGGTATTGGCTGAAACTGGAACTGAAAGGCAGCTGCCGATGCATGGCACGGCCCGGCACGGCAGCTTCTTAACCGTAGTTACAGCGTCATGCATCACCGGGGATACGGCGAGGAGCTCGCTCGATCTAGCTAGCTTTCCACTGCATGTCACAGCTGAGTCACATAAACACACAAGCACATCTTTACGATTGCTTAATTTTAATGTTAGACATATCTTTATCTATACACGTACCTGTAAACAAGTCCCATGCATTTCTTGAGTTTCACAACAACCAGCTAAATGTTGAACTTGTACCTTTAAATTAGTCTATATTCCAAGTTTCCAACCCCTTTTTATCAGCATCCGTATCTCGGTGCTGTGAGTAATGCACTCTCTGTGTAATTGTACTCTCGATCTCGCGAATAATTAATCGTTAATCGCGACCGAGCACTGAAAAGCGCATGCGCATATGTACCGGTATAGTTGCGTCATAATAAATTATGAGTTGTGTAACCAGCTGACGGCCGTGGGCGTACGTACCGTGTACCGAGATATTATTATACAATACTTATGGTAAGCCAAACAATAAGACATTTGAAGTGTACATTATTTTGTGTATGGGCTTTAAATTTTGAAAATTGGGTGGATAGTAATTCTTTACAACTTTGATATATTTGGATACCCCTGTAGATGTATAATAAGCAATACACAATTTAGCCCCTAAAACACTTCTGCTTTCGAGAAAAATTGACTAGAAAAATTTACTGGTGCTCCCATTTCAAAATAGCGCATACGATCATACAATAATGGTAGCTGCAACTGAATGAAAATCTCAGAATATGTAGTTGTGATATATAGTTTCCAAACGGGAATAGCTAATTGGTCGATTTTACGGTCAAGAAACATTTTTTTATAGCTGAGCTAATATGTTGACCTGGCTTGAGAGGGAGCTATACAATTACTATACAACAAGAGTTGATTGTTTACAATTTCATAACTTTAGATTAGATTTCAGCCGCGACAACGATCACTGAATATTGTAGGATCACATTAATTTGCTTCCAATCTGAACCAAATTCATGACCCCATATACCAAAACTTTGTATTACCTTTAAGCGGCGGGACTGAAGTGTCCCTTTCACTAACTACATGTAGCTACTTGCGCCCTCTATATAGCAAACCATTCCCAAGCAGTATCCGTTGGTCCCCCATGATCCCCTTTTTCTTATATTAAGCCGATTTGCATGATGAGGTAACCACGTGTCAGTAACCTTGCATGAAGGTATACAATCACTACAATCCCTCCTGGCTGAACTAGTACTGACAGAAAGCCTGCTCTCGAATGACAAAATACAGAGCCATTCACTACACGGTGGGGGGGGGGGGGGGGGGGGGGGGGGGGGGGGGGGGGGGGGGGGGGGAGGGAGGGGGAGGGAGGGGGGACATCTCATCCTGGAATGTTACCTTAAGTTTCGTCCTCCATCCAAAAATATGAATATTTGTTGTAATGTGTCCATAATGTAGATTTAACACTGCCTCTAAGTTCTAACCTCATTCAGAGAAGAATGATTAAAGGTCTCGATAAAAGTCATATTTCAATGCCGAGCACGAAAGACAAAGTAAGCCACCATTCCATTGTCTTTCCTTATGTATGTACAATCAGTGGCGGATCCAGGGGGGGGGGGGGGCCGGCCCCCCCCCCCCCCCTTGAGAAAAAAATCATGTAAAATGACGTGATTTTTACCTTTTTTTGGGGTTGGGCCCCCCCCCCCCCTGGCGCTCAAGGGGGGGGGGTGCAAATTGAAAAAATTTTGAGGATCAAAAAAAAAAATGTGCTCTGTACCCCCCCCCCCCCCCCCCCCCCCCCCCCCCCCCCCCACTGAGCGACTTTTCGGCCGGCGCGATTTTCAAATTTTCGGGAGCAAAAAAAAAAAAAGTTGGGCCCCCTCCCCTAAGAAATCCTGGATCCGCGCCTGTGTACAATAAACTATTATCTGCATTTCAAACATTATAATTATTTATAACATAGAGTATTAAAACATTTGTTAACTAGGTGAAATCATTATGTTGGTAGTAACCATGACCAAATATGGCGTTTTTCTTGGAATATAATTTGTATTCGAGCATGCCCTTATAGGGACAAATTAATGTCTGTTTTCTCTTCCCGAACAAGTTCCGGGGAAATTGTTCCGCTATCATTATAGTGTGCTTTCTGTCGGATATGAAAGATGCAACAAATTTGTTGTTTTCTCTTAATGTACGATATCTCTGCTAAATATTATGCTCTTATCAAAATCAAAGTCAAAATTTACGGGCCTAATTTATCGCCAAAGTTTGAAAACTCCACGAAGTCCGGGACATAGACAAAACCGACCTTTGCTCTTCCCTTACATTGTTAAAAATTGTATTTAATGCTCATTTTATTTGATGCTTGCTTAACGCTTTATGGCAAAATCGCGATATGGTCGAGTAATTTAAAAAATCGATCAAAGTCAATTTCTGGGTCATGGTACGTATACGAGCGCGCGCGGAGAGATAATCATCTAAAACAGAAAGGAAAATGCATATGAAAGCGTGAAAAGAAGATAAAACAACCCTTCAAACATTCTCTCTTTTGATGGCAACACTACAGTATCACCTTCACCCTTGGCAAGAATGTATCTGTCTCAATGGCTGGACCCGCGCTACCTCAATAAGTTTTGACGATTTTCAATACATATTTTCTAGACAATGCACATCCCGCTCGTAGGCGCCGGAAGCGGGGGGGGGGGGGGGGAGGGGGCGGATGCCCCACACGAAAAAGGGGGTTAGGGCAAACACATTTTCGTCCCCCTAAACGCCCCCGAAAAAAAATCAGCAGTAAAGGAGTAAAAGTGGTTTGTATTTTTTAACCAAAAAGGAAATGAATAATGATAAAACCTGAATTGAATCACATACAAGTTATATTCCATTCAAAATTAATTAAAAGGAGAGTAAACAGGAATTAAATTTCCTAAACATTCTGCATGGCCCTAGATTTATCAATGGAGGATTTTATAATAGCGATAAGCGCATATCGTGGAAATATTGTACGAGGATGGGAAAGCGTGTGTGCTTTTTTATTATAGGGGTGAGAAGAAAGGTGAAAGATGAGCTCCCTGGAATGTTTGCCACCCCGGCCCTCCCCCAATCCCAAACTGCTTCCGGCGCGCCTGTTCCAGTTTAAACAGACGGCATAAAATACACGTTACTTTTTGGTCTAAATTGAAAACAATTATTCTTCGTATATCAACGCACATTATACTACGCCAATTTGCAACAAATATAAACGACCGTATCGGTGTATAGTGCTTGGGAGATTCCGCTCATATACATTTACGAGTGGTGGTGCAGTCTACCCTGTAAATACTGCAGTCGTCCAACAAGTACACTCTTTAATTTATGCATCATGCATTCTGAATATAAACAGACATGTCGGTCGTTTTTTTTATATTATAAAGTTTTAAGTTTATAGTATTCCGGTCACCGGAATACTATACACTATACACTACTATCCGCCACCGTGGCGGATCCAGGAATTTCTTACGGGGGGGGGGGGGTGAAATATATGAAAAATGAAGGAGCGTAGCGACAGCGGCGAGGCGTCAGCGGCGAGAGAGCGGAGCGACCAAGCAGGGTGGGTCTGCAAAAATTATCTCGAGTGTATAAACTGTGTTGTTATCAGGGTCGTCGCTAGACCTTTTTCAGAGGGGGGGGGGGGGGGGGTAACCAATTACCGACAAAACTAGCCACCAATTACCGACAAATATATTAATGCCAATGTCCTAATGTCTAAAAATTTAACCCTATAAACCTGGGGCCATGAGCTAAGTTATTTTTCCGTTACGCCCCTCCCGCGCGAAGCTTTGACACTTCATTTAATTTTTAGAGAAAGAAGACGATTCGTTGTAACGTTCCCGACTCTTAATTCTTGTCTGAATTCAGTGGCCCCCCCCCTCCTGCGCGAAGCGCAGGAGGGGGGGGGCCCACTGAATAGCTTCATAAATATGTGCGTTTGAATAGCTTCAAACGTCATAGCTTCTGCTTCTGCAGAAGCTATGACGTTTCATTTAATTTTTTAGAGAAGAAGACGATTCGTTGTACCGTTCTCGACTCTTAATCCTTGTCTGAATTTTTGTTTTCCCTTCCGCGCGAAGCACCGAAGCTTTGACATTTCATTAAATTATTAGAGAGAAGACGATTCGTTGTACCGACTCTTAATTATTGTCTGAATTTTCAAAAATGTTTCTTTGTCCGATAAAAAGTCACAGTTCGTATGGAAAACAAATTTGCCGACCGACCGACATAATACATCTCCCCGACTTCACTTGCATTTCTGCAAGAATACCGACACAGCGGACCCGACACAGCAACATAATAATTCTTGCCGGCCCCCTCGACGTGGTGACTCCACCCAACACCCTCCTCTCTCTTTTACTTCCACCCCACTTCTCTGCTCTCTTTCATCTCCCATTTCTTTTGTTTTCCTTTTCTCTTCTTTTTTTCCTTTTTTCCTTTTTTCCTTTTCTATTTTTCTTTTCCTTTCTTTCCTCTCCTTCCTCTTTTTCTTTTTTCTCTTTCTTTCTTCTCTTCTCTTTCTTTCCTCTTTTCTTTTTTTCTTTTCTTTCCCTTTCTCTCTCATTTTCCCCTCCCCCTTTTATCATTTCTCCCGACAGCAGCGCAATTTTACCGACAATATCCTGACAGGTAGGGGGCATGTGGGGGTGCGACACCCCACCTCTAGTGACGCCTCTGGTTGTTATCCCATTATTCTTTTAAAAGGAATACAATTCCTCATGATACTCTCTTCTATCATTGTTTAATTCTCTTTCATTTTGTTCCTTTCTCCTTTAACTCACACAAATTTCTCTCTTTCCCCCCTTTTTTCCATCTCTTGTTTTTGGTTCTTCTTCTATTATGCACACTGCATAATTCCGTGCCCCCCCCGCCCCTTTCCGGTAAAAAAACACCTTCTTATAATATTATTCCTCTTTCTTTATTTTCCCTTCTCATTATTCTCCTTTTTTCCCTTTTCTCTCCTCCGTCTTTCCCCCTTTCTTCCTTTTCCGCCTTTTCTCTCCTCTCACTTCCCTTTCTTCCTTTCCCTCCTTTTTCTCCTCTCCCCTTTTCTCTCCTCCCTCTTTCCTTTTTTCTTTTCTCTTCCCTTTTCTTTCTTTTTCCCCTCCTTTTTCATTCCCCCTTCTTTTTGTCTCCTTTTCTCCCTTTTCATTTTCCCCTTCCCCATTCCCCCTTTTTACCAGGGGGGGGGGCGCCCCCTGTGCCCCCTGAATCGGCCACTGTATTAAAATTGTATACCTAATGTTCATACTGTTGGCCCTCGAACGAAGAATGATTTGAGATTTGAATATATATAATATCATTACGAAAACTTATTACCGACATGAATACCTTTTGAGTGTGACGTTACATTTTATATCGGGATCTACATCGGGATCTATATTTGGTTCAAATGAACATATTGGAAGCATGCGATCCTACACGAAACATCCCTCTAAGTTACTCAAATTATACATAGACTTCAACAAAGGGGATTACGACTCTGCTCTAATTCCCCTTTCTTAGCTCCCTCACAACCTTTATTTAGAAGATTCAATACTTTACATATTTATGATATTAATAAATTACTAATTGCGTCATTGATGCAACGATTTTTCTCAAACTCACTACCTCCAAACCTTATGCACCTATTTAGTGTCAACAATGCGGTCCATACCCACTACACGAGAAATACTGATACATTCCATCATTGGAATGCTTCTTCCAATATACTGACCGATTCTCTCCGTTATATTGGTCCTAAAATGTGGTATTCACTACCTCCTTTTTTACAGTGCGGATTCAATAATTCATTCAAAAGACTTTACAAGAAACATTTTTTTCTCTCTTTATAATGCATAATTTATTTTAAGACCACTCTAATACCAAATTCTTCTCTTTTTTATTCATTTTTTTTCTTTTTTATTCATTTTCTTTTCTTTTTTATTCATTTTTTCTTCTTCTTCCAAGTATATTTATGTTATTATTACTTCTGCGCCTCGTGCATTCAATTGCCAAGCCTTATTGGCTTTTACAGATGCACCATTTTCCATTTGTACTATGGTTAATACCTTCATATTTTCTTTCTATTTCGAATGCTGATAATGTCAATTTATAATATGTAATTTTGATATTTTTTAAAATCATTGTATAGATTGTCATGATGATGGAAATAAGCTTGCTAGATCTTACATAGAAATTTAAAATAATCTAATTTGTTATGTCTTGAATTGTTTTTTTTCTTTGTTTGTCATCAGGAATGGACCCTGCATACATTTAATATTATCACCCGTAACTGAAACCAGCACACAATATTATTATTTTCACGTTATTAGTCTCTTTTTGATACACCAAGCTAAAGTTTTGCACTATGCACAAATGCACTTCTCAACACGAAATATTTAACTAAATATGTTTGAGTTATTTCACTTAAAATTAATTCAGCCATGCTCACTTTTAATCACTTCATCTTATTTAACATTGAATACAGTGGCGGATCCAGGGGGGGGGGGGGGCCCGGACCCGGCCCCCCCCCCTTGAAAAAAAAATCATGTAAAATCACGTGATTTCTACCTTTTTGGGGGTTGGGCCCCCCCCCCTGGCGTTCAAGGGGGGTGCAAATTGAAAAAATTTTGAGGGTCAAAAAAAAAAAAATGTGCTACTACCCCCCCCCCCCCCCCCCCCCCCCCCCCCCCCCCCCCTCACTGAGCGAATTTTTGGCCGGCGCGTTTTTCAAATTTTCGGGAGCAAAAAAAAAAAAAAGTTGGGCCCCCTCCCCTAAGAAATCCTGGATCCGCGCCTGATTGAATACAATGCAGTTGTATGGGTTGTTCTTTTATTTTGCTAACTCGGCTGAGGCCACGGTCATCATCAAGTATTAACGCTTACGACATGTGGTCTCCTGCTTTTTCCTTTTGTAAGAAACTTGTATTTTAACTACAAACATATTTTGTCAAACTTACATGTTATTCATTGTATTTATTTGTATGATGTTTCTTTGTATTGATATGAAAAAGTGGAAATAAAACAAACAAACAAACAAGTGTCAATTCAAATATTCAGTGATCGTTGTCGTGGTTGAAACCGAGTCTTAAGTTATGAAATTGTAAACAATAAACTCTTTATGTTGACTAGCTCCCTCTCAAGGTCAAGATATTAATTAAGCTATACAATAATGTTTCTTGACTAAAATCGACCGATTAGCTATTCCCGTTTGGAAATGATATATCACAACTACATATTCGGAGATTTTAATGGTCGCAGCTACCATTGTACGGCCGTAGGCGCTATTCGAGATTTATCAAAATTTACCGGGAGCACCGGTAAATCATTATATTCAATTTTTCTCGAAAGCAGAAGACAGTGTTTAGGGGCTTAATTTTCTAGTGCTTATAAAACATCCACATGCAGTGGCATCCAAATATATCAAAATTGTTAAGAATCACTCACCGAATTTTCAAAATTTCTCAAAACTTTGTATTATACCTTTAAGCCCCACTGCACTACTTGCGCCCTCGATCTGTCACTAGCATGCCTAATCGGTGCCTGCTGGTCCCCCATGGTCCCCCTTTTCTTATGTTAGTGAGAGCTGATTTGATGAGAACACCTGTCAGTGACCATACAGGGAGGTCTGATCCCTCCTGGCCAAACTAATGCAGATATGCTGTAATAAGTAAATTGGAAATGCCATAAATTCAGTAGAATAGGTAATGCGTTTCACCCTTAGAGCTTTATACTTCTATGGTTTCACCAGACAGGTGCATTTTATGCCGGCCTATAGGGGTGAAAACTACTACTGGCTTCATAAAATTAAAGTAGATGCTGCCAAGAGAGCCAACATTAAGTTAGGAATGATAAGGTCGTTTCCAGCCTTGCAAAAGAAGGGTTTCCTCATGGTCTCTACTAAACTATTAATCGACCAACACTAGAATACTGTAACTCTGTGTGGTGCCCAATACTGAAGAGAGATGAAGACACACTAGAGAAAGTCCAGCAGAGGACCACCGTGAGACTTCTTCCTGAGCTGAAACAAAAAGCATACCCAGACAGACTTACTACTACCTACTTTGGCTTACAGAAGACAAAGAGCAGACCAAATAGAGATATTCTCCCAACTATAGCCACTGACTCAACAACAAGAGGCCATGATTTCAAGATTGTCAAACAACAATTCAATATACAAGACTTTGGCAGTATAGTTTCTTTATAAGGAGTGTAAATGATTGGAATGCCCTGCCACCATTAACCAATTCAAGTCATCCCTAGGAAGGTATTGGAGAAACAGAATCCAATTAAGTTTGAACCATACTTGAGACGGGACGCAACAGTAAAGAGGGACAAATATAAAGCTATAAGCTTCCAGTCTTTAAAGTACAAGTCCACTCCAAAAATAAGTTACTTTCAATAGAAGCAAAAAAATCAGACAAACCAAGTTTGAGCAGAATCGGATACCTAATACGAAAGTTATGATTTTTTGAAAAAGTATGTACAACTATGGAACAATAAAAATCACTACACAATTTGCCAATTTGGTTATCAGTTTGTGACGTCATATCAATTGCTTTACATTGTTTAACTGGAACAAATTACTCTATATTAGTACATCTACACAAACTATCATTTTGAATGCTGGTGTGAAGAACTAAGATTCTTAGGGGAAAAATAGGAAATGTATGTTATCAATATAAAGAAAATAATTAGTGGATAGTGAGGACGTCACAGACACTTGTGCTTTTCATTGTTCCATAGTTTTACATACTTTTTCAAAAATTCATAACTTTCTCATTAGTTATCCGATTTTGCTCAAACTTTTTTTGATTGGTTTGTCTGATTTTCTGTTTCTATTGAAAGTATGTTATTTTTGGAGTGGACTTGTCCCTTTTGCAACCAACCTCAAATTCTGTAGAACTTTGCAGAAATTATGAATATGTCATGTATTGCCTATCTGTGAAATTTAAACGTTAGCAGTGTCCTATTCAAATTATGCAAGGACTAACCCGTTTACTTACTAGACTTCACTGTCAGACTCTATTGTCAGTATTGAGTGACTGACTGACTGGCTTTTTGTTCTTCTTTGGTAATAACATACATAAAATGAGCTGTAAAGGATTTGTCTACATCAATAACCCACTTCTTGTAATGGCCAAAATTAAACTGATTGAATCTTTGCGTAGCATAAAACGTACGACCATGCGGTACAATGGTCCGAAAATCAAGACTACTACGTATTGGCTCTATAGCTCCTAAGTCGACTTTTCAAGCCCCATTTTTCTAAGGGGAGTTCTAAATTAGTATTATCTTTCAAATGCCGTTGGAATTTAACCTTTTCATTTTTTTGGCCTGCAAAAGGGACAAACTGTATTTTCATTAATGAACACCAGTTTTGAAAATCAACTACACACAAGAACTTCCCATTATATTTTGCGGTTTAATAGTCCATTTTTTAATTAAATTATTATTAGATCTATTTAACAAAATTAGGAGTAAGTGTGTTAAATGTTTGTGAAAGAAGAAATAAAATGAACTATGAACTGGCGACTCAACCTTGATAGAGTCGAGCTTTTCGGAACATGTGGTCGACGTCTGTATCATGTGTTTGGTCAATGATTGGCGGCCGAGATGGTTAGCGTTTTCGAGACGTCGGAACACTAATGTTTGGAAAGACAACAAATCAGGTATGTGGCTGTGAATATTAATTTCTTGCTGGTATGTTGGGATATTTTTAAGTGTTTAGGGATGATGTATTTGTTTAAATAGACTAGTTCTGATGTTTTTCTTCACGTAACAACATGATAATAGATAATACAGACCGTATCTTGATTTGTGCACAATTAATGCCTGCTCAGTCCCATACAATTCTTATTGTGTGGGTTGGTTATTCACTCATTACACTGTTGTAACAACTGAACCATGTTACTTTTGCCCTTTTTTATTCTTAATAATAAGTAAGATACTCTGGCGTTGAGATACTCTACTAAAACTATACCAAAAATCACAGTCATAGCTGCATGTGCACTCAGAGTTTAGACCGAATGCTTCAGTCTCTAATCGCATATCGACGGTACCGCATAGACTATCCTCTGACTAGATCTAGTCTAGGCAAATTCATGCAAAAAAATATATTCAAAAAATTGACTTGAAAACACATCACACAATTAGTCTGAACCGAGTCAGGAGCAAATTTGAAGAAATTATATTTTTAAATGTTGTAAAACCAAAGATATAAGAAGAAAACTGACCAAGTATCTGTACTAAAAATCGTACATGTAAAATTGGTCGTCGACATTCGACAGCTGAATATGACGCGCACGGTTGCATTACGTGCGTTCTCGAATCCAAAATCGTACCTCACACACACAATCTCGCCATACCGCGAATGGTCCGTCTTGGGGAGCTAGCCGGCTGAGAGTTTGCAGCGATACCAACGCAGCTTCGGAGCTCCGTAGCGCGCCATTTTAGCGGGACTCGGAAAGGTTTGCGATGGGAAGGCAGCGGCCTAGCTTTTTGCCCAAACAACGCTAGATCGGCTGCTGGCAAAATGAAAATAACTACGATCGAGAACATCGTCGGTTTCTTAACTTTTCAGTGAGATAATTCTGAATTCTAATTGAGACTATATAATAAATTAAATCGACAAAGAAACCTTGGTAGAACTCTTATAACTATACAAAAGCTTGTTTATTTCTTCATTTGACATTTTGTTTTCGACCATTTTTTCGTGTGCGAGTCAATGTAAACTATGTATTACCAAACTTTCAACACGCAAGGAACGGGGAACACTCGCGGACCTCGTAACAAATTCGTTGCAAATTTTTTTTTCAAACTCCCGGATGTGTTCCACCTTGTCGTTGAGAGGACAGATACCATGCTGATCCACGTGGTGGCCTAAGAAAGTCAATGAAGATACACCAAACTGACACTTGGAAGTGTTGATGACAATGCCATACTCACGAAGTCGATCAAAAAGTAGGCGGAGGTGTGTCACATGTTCGTCATCCGTAGCACTGGCAACGAGCAGGTCGTCGAGGTACACAAAGACAAAAGGGAGACCACGAACAACTTCATCCATCAGCCGTTGAAAAGACCGAGCAGCGTTTCGAAGTCCGAAGGGCATGCAAACCCACTCGAAAAGTCCGAATGGAGTGGTTATTGCAGTCTTTGGGATATCACATGGCTCGACCGGGATCTGGTGATAAGCACGAATTAAATCAATCTTAGAAAAAAATCGTCTTACCACTGAGGCAGGATGAGAAATCTTGTAGGTGGGGTATCGGGTAACAATCAGGAGTTGTCCGAGAGTTGAGGGCGCGGTAATCCCCACAAGGTCGCCAGTCACCTGGGGTCTTCTTTGGGACCATATGGAGTGGAGAAACTAAATGAATATTCTTACCGTTAATAATAATCTTCAGCGTTGATATCTCGAGTGTAGAAAGAAACTGGAAGGCGAATCATGAAGAGGAAGAATAGTGCGATATAGCGAAGTGATGAATCAGCACGTGAAGCGCGACTAGCTAGCTAGCGAAACGCGAATATGATGAAGGCACACAACCTTACAGTTCACACTTCCCAAAATTAAATAGAAGACAAATCTAATTTGCGATTCAGTCCTCAAATAAAATGATGATGATGAAACTCGCTATTAACATGAAAACTAATGAGAAAACGCTTGTTGAATAATCCGAAAACGTCCTATTGATGAAACTGAAGACAGGAGAAGTGAGTAAAATCCGTGTGTGGAGACTTTTCCAAGTGCGCTAAAAGTGTGATGATTTGCTTATTAAACAATAAGGTGCGGTCCGATTGGAGTAACTAAAATAACACTCTTGTTGCTGGGTGGTTCCATGGATGAAATTAACTCAGAGAATGTGTAGAATGTGCAGCTGTAAATTGTTATTGTTATTGAAGCTGGCTGAACGGAAAGTACTAACAAAAGGAATGTTTAAAATGCTGGCTATCTACAATGTTGATAAACATTTGTGACCTTTGTAAAACGAGTATGGTAAAACCGGTCACTCAAAAGGTTTCTACTTTTTTGAGGCACTTCATGATCATCTTGAAGCGCAATTATTTTAGGGCTCCAATATTACATCATATCATAGACACTGATAACACGTAGGGCCAAGCATCTCAGATTTAACATGGTAAAGTTTTGAGTCTGACATCAAATGTACGTTAGCAGACTACCCTGTAGGATCTTGTGACCTGCTTTAGTAGGACTTTAACTGTGAAAGATCTTAATTTTTCTTTTCCTTCTTTTGCAGAAGCATGGCTGATTCCATTCACCGTCTTGAAGGGCTTTCTAATCAGGTTGGCGGGTTGATTGTCAAGAAGAAGAAATCAGACTCTGATCAGGACTTCAAAGCCCCACCTACCAGATCCTCAGTCCTGGGCCTAGATGTTCTTGCTGCAGAGAAGCGCAAACTGAAGGAGGTGTCAGAAAAAGAGGTAGAGGAGGAGAAGAGTAAGAAGTCAAAAGTCACATCTTACAAGGATGAGTGGGAGAGAAAGGATTCAGATTCCGATGATAGTGACAGCAGTGATTCAGATGAGGAAGATAGAACATCACAGAAGAAGAAGTCTTCTCAGGAAAGGTAGGGTTTAATGACTTACTCATGGAAGAGGACCTAGAGAAATGTTAAGGTATTGATAATAAATGTTATTTCATCAGCACCAACAGTTTACATGTACGGCAGCCATTAATTCATTGGAAGAAATAGTAAATTGCATATTGTTTTGCATTGTGTAAGACAATTTTTCTCAGTTACTTTTCTCAGTCACCCACTTTCACTGCAGAATCAAACTCAGGAATCTGTCTCACATATGAGATAAATCTCCTACTAATCGGATGAAAGGATATTGGCAATTCCTTGAGCAGTGCAACTAGTAAAAGAAGGGGCATTTTAGGTGCATAAGAGTTAAATGACACATCTTCCCGTCCAAACTATTCAGGAAAAATAATATCTTAGAATGCCAACTTGTAACCAATTACAATTATACAGATCTTCATTGATAATACCATATAAAATCATTAGTTTGTTATGCTTAACTGCACAATAATTATATAGCAGAGTTTATTTTATATTAAATAAACACCCTTTTGAGAAATAGTAGATCACGACATGGCACAAGTAATCTGATTGTAATTGCTTTCTTCCAGGCACTATCGAGCTGCTCATACAGAGACGCCAACTCACACTGGAGGTGTGAGCTCAGAGGCTAAGGAGAGACAGCTACGAAGGGAGAAGGATGGTAGGAAAGGAGGTGTCTACGCTTCATCTAATGATGATAATAGGAAAGGAAGGGGAAGAGGTTAGTCAGATCATATCTAATGAATTTCGTGAAAGTGGGAGAATGTCTACCTTATTTAAAGCATGTGTCACAGAATGTCAGTGTCGTGAACATAAGAATGCATGTTCCATTATGTGGATATTTGACATCAATAAGAAAAGAAAAAGCAGGTGTTGATGAACTTCAAAGAAAGTGGCAATGAAGATGTCCTCAGGTTATTGCAGGTTCCAACTTCAGGGGATGATATACATTAGATTGTGTATTTTCATTCCCCCCCCCAAAAAAAACAAAAAAAACAAAACAACAACAACAAAACAAACAGATTTACTGTGTGGAAATTTTGTATGATATTCCAGATAAATAAGATGGTTCTAAAACTCTGTGATCTTTATGCTCTACATGACATTTCAGGCCTTGAAAATGAAAAAAGCTTTTGTTTCTCATGTAAACCATCCCCTCAATGGTATAAACCTAAATTGAAAGAAATTGAAAATTAAATTCAATATTAGTATTAATTTGAAAATCACTTTCAATTCAACTCTGTTTATCGTAGAATGGTATGAAAGAGAGAAGTACAGGGATAGAGACAGAGATAGAGATAGAGGAGGCAGACATCGAGACAGAGACAGGGACAGGGATAGACGAGACAGACATCGTGATCGACGTGATGACCGCAGAGGTCATGATTCTGAGCGAGGGAGTCGCAGCCAGAGGAGCGACAGAAGCGACAGAAGTGATAGAAGTGTTAGAAGCAACTGGGAGCGTACACCACGGGCTGATGACGAACCCTTTACTCCAAGAATTTCAAGAGGTTAGTTTCAAGTTTTATGTTTGTAGAGAGAATGGAGGTGATTACGGCTGTACCATACTTAACAAATTGTGGAGGTGAATTATTTTTTCTGAAATAAAATATATGCAAGAATATTATAAGAGGTTTGAAAGTTATACTTCATTAAACTGTATTACTTTACAAATCATGCATACCGTACTCTCTCAGTCGTGCATAGTAGGAATTTATATAACGGTACATGTATTTGATATATAAAATGAAATACGAAGATTTTCATTATGCTGATTAAATGTATCTATCATATATTACATAATTTTATTCATTCTTTCACTCCAATTTTAATTTTCATTGTGTCTTTGTACATAGCTGTTCTTCAAATTTCTAATGAATTTGTAAAGTATGATATGAGGATCGTATATATTGCTATATATTCATTGTACAGATAAACAAATTTGATGCCATGATTTTTTTTGTTCAGGTATCGACACACCATCCCGTGCAAGCTGGGAGGAGGAGGATGATGTTCCAAAGAAGGCACCCTCTCAATGGGACCAGCCGACGCCCAATACATTAAGGAGACAGAATGATTTCAGTGAGAGGAGTGATAGGAGCGAGAGAAGAGATAGGAGTGATCGTAGTGATCGGAGTGAGCGTAGTGATAGGAAGGACACTTCTACCAGGAAGGATGGAGACAGGTATGGAGAGAATGATGAGAAAATAACTGCATTTTATTCTGTTTAATTTGTTTGGTATTTACTATATAAAAAAGCTTTGCATTCATGCTATCTATTTCTAAGTTACTTGTTCGCCTTATAAATGTTTTCTGTTTATTTTGCATTTTTTTCTGTTTTACTGTGGAATGCTGGCACAATGGCTATAACACATTTTAAACTACTAAACAAATTTTTAGACGGTGTAATTAAAAGCATGATATTTTCTTCAAATTAACTTACTTAAAAAAAAACATAAAATGATGACGACTGTACATGCGAATTTGTACAATGCTTGTTGCCAGTTTGAGAGTTAGAAACCTATCTCATCCTTAGTTCGTTTAATATTACCGGTACAAAAGATTTGATTTTGTATTAAATTTTCTTTTGCATTTTAATACAGAAAACTATGTCAAATGTCTTAATCAGAAAATGTGCACTGTATGTATATGAGGATATATATGTGACTAAATTCCATGATATGAGATTTGTTATTCCTCACTTGGATTTTAAGCTTATGCTTAAGCTTATGCTATCTAACCTTTACCTAATTGATGTCATCCTATGCTGTAGGTCACGTAATAGAAGAAAGGAAGATGACACGCCTGTAATGACCCCAGCTCACAAGTATAACTCATGGGCTAACAATCGCAAGAAGAGTGGTGCTACGCCACAGGTCAAAGGTCAGTTTGAGATATCACTTGGTAATGCAAGAGGTTGTTATGTTTGTGGTAGCCTCAAGTACTTGGCTTAGGATATCACTGGATTTAAATCTCTAACAAAAATGAACTTTAAGCTTTAAGTGTGTAAAAACCACGCTTATGTATGGAATTAAGTTCTACCACCTCAGTGAGAAAACAAAACGGATTTCAGTCTGAAGTTTGCTAGACTATTTTCTCTCACTTTATCAGGAAAGCATAGTATTCATCGCCGAGCTCTATGCTGAGTGTAGTTATGTTCAGAAGGTAAGAAAATTCAGTCAACATGAAAAACAGGCATTGGTTTTTTTCTCATAGATAGAGTAGTGTCACTACGAATGATTATCTAAAGGGAGAATGGAATATTGAAATGCCTTTATTGCTTTTGTTTGATCAGGAGGAGACACAGTGACAAGGGTCAGGTCGGAAGAAGATCAGGAATTATGGGAAGAAGAGCAGAAGGTGAGTCACACAATTGTTTGATGTTTTTTTTCTTTTCATTTTCAGAAAAGAGAGATAAATCCTTTTCAAATGATAACAACTTGAAGTAGCATAATCTGACAGCGCTTAATAATTAAATGACATGAAATAAAGAACATATCAACTCTGTCCATGCTTAAGCTTCATAAACATAAGCAGGAACAAGAACAAAAAAATGTTCATTATGTATTTGAATATATGTACATGCTGCTAATCCATTTCATTTGTGTCATGTGTTCTTTCTCTCTTCCTCAGAGGCTAGACCGTCAGTGGTACGGATCTGATGAGGGTTACGATGAATCCAACAACCCATTTGCTGCCGTACCTGCCGAGTACGCAGCAAAGAAGGAGCGTGATCTCGCTACCCAGAAGGCAAAGAGAATGTCAGCTCAACAGAGACAGATCAACAAGGTATCTACATCAGAATGAAATATACAGTGCGTCCCAGAAAAAACGCAACTGAGAAGTATTGATGTTTTATCATAACTTAATCACAACCATAATTAATGAATGATACATATTTGGAAAGCTTAGAGTCTCCTCCTTCGGTTGATGCTACTCACGTGATGCATATTTCTCGCATGAGTGATTAAAAGCATTTGAAGGAAGGAAACCAAAAAGTAATTTGGCAGGCGGTATCTGAATTTCAAAGAAAAATTCATATTTCTAGAAAGTTCATTTTCTGCTCTTTCATATGATACCTCAATCAAGAAAAATGAGCCAGGAATAACAAAGTTCTGTTTGTTTAAAGTAGTCCTTACATTTTCATAATTTTAACAAACGAATTTGTTTTCACTGGGTGCCTGCCGTAGCAAAAAGCAGATTTGACAAAAGACTTAACTCTGTTTCGTTGACAATCGGCCATGCATGAAGACTCTCATCTACGGCTGATTGTCAACGAAACGGAGTTAAGTCTTTTGTTAATTTTGTTTATTGATACGGCAGGCAGCCAGTGAAAACGAATTTGTTTAATAAAATTATGGAAATGCAAGCACTACTTTAAACAAACAGAACTTTGTCATTCCTCGCTCATTTTTCCTGATTGAGGTGTCATATGAAAGGGCAGAACTCAACTTTCTAAAAATGTGAATTTTTCTTCGAAATTCAGATACCGCCCGCCAAATGTCTTTTTGGTTTCCTTCCTTCAAAGTGCTTTTAATCACTCATGCGTGAAATATGCATTATCTGAGTAGCATCACATGGAAGAGGAGACTCTAAGCTTTCCAAATATGTATCATTCATTAATTATAGTTGTGATTAAGTTATGATAGAACATTGATAATTCTCGGTTTCGTTTTTTCTGGGACGCACTGTATATATGTCAGCTGAGATATGTTATTGACTTGTATATATTGCATTTCTTCCTAAAAAATCAAACATCAGATCACAACTACTTTCTTAGTGTAGCATTACTCCAAAGTATTTTCATAAAAAAGGCAACAAACCTTATGATACACAATGAACTAAAAAATTCAACAATCATGATTACTGAATTACTTTCATTTTCTGCTCTTTATAGAGGGGCAGTCTCTCATCTGTCTTTAACATTGTAGGTATAAGCGTAAACCAGTGGACAATTAGGAGAAATCCTTTTTCTGCCCACCTGGATGTATTGAAAACTTATATTCATACTCTTTGACATATTGCAAGTTTACAATGGTCCTGGGCAACATTTCATTTAGGGTTGTAAACCTCTGCCCTGTTGAAGTGTAGATTGAGTCAAATGTGTTACAGTAGCCTATTCTAAATATACCACCTGTCTAAAATAAACAATTTATCTATATGTGTCGTGTACAACTTGTCCCCCTTCTTTTTCCTTTTCCCCCTTCCTTTTCCTTTTCTTTCCCCTCCCTCTATTTATATCCTCTTCTCTCCTTTCCCTACTCCACCATGTCCACCTTTTGTTCCTATCTTACTCTCTCTCTCTCTCCCCTCCCTCCCTGTCTCTCCCCCCCTCTCGCTCTCTCTCCCCCCTCTCTCTCTCTCTTCTTACTATTTTGCTCTTCAATCTAGTCTCCTTCCGACCTTTTTCTCTCTTCTCAATCTTCTCATGACTTTCGTGTGAATTTATGTACATTATGTGACATATACACCTAAAGTGTTTATCAATTATTATGTAACTACATTGTATTTTGTTTATGTGCTGCCAGTGGAGGCTAATTTTCTATGTTTTGAATATGGATCAATAAAAGAATATATCTATCGTGGTCACCTATTTATTATTCTCCCTCATGAGAGGATTGTGTACATGTAGAAGAACCTGGCTAGAAAAGCCACCTATCTTTAGAGTTCACTCTTTCCATTTCTGTGGGAGGCTTTTACAGACTTTTTTTTGACTGTTTCTGGATTTTTATGTCAGATAGATTCAGGCTTTAATTCCATTTTTGTTCTCCCTTTGACCACAGGACAATGACAAGTGGGAGACCAATCGGTTGCTGACCAGTGGAGTTGTCCAGCAGATAGAGTATGAGGAGGTGGTTGATGAGGAAACGGTCAACAGGGTTCATCTCTTAGTGCACAACATTGTACCTCCTTTCCTGGATGGAAGGATAGTCTTCACCAAGCAGCCTGAACCTGTTATACCTGTCAAGGTCAGTGTGAACACACCTGTCAAGGGGAATGGGTCTAGTATGCTGAAATATGTGTGCAAATTCCCACTGCAGGGGCCCGTTTCATAAAACTTTTTATCTATATCAAGTGCTAAATTTCTATGACAGATATGCTCTCAGCCAATCACATGCCATGATTTCAGTAGCTTATAACAGTGGCTTGTAACTTGTTATTGATATCAATTTTTAAGAAACTGGGCCCTGTATATGTTTTGTTTAAAGATCAGTTAAATAGTTTGAAAGGGTACACAAGAACACCGTGAAAAATTGATCGTTTTATAATACAGTACATTAGCAGGGCTCAGAAAGTTGGTGCTCCAGGCTTTATGTCGTCAAAGTTAGAGATAGGGTTGCAATTCCCTAAGTTAAGGGTTAGGGTTTGGGTTAGGTATAGTGTTTTGTCCAGGGTTGATATTATTAAGAATTCTGTTAGTGTGCACAAATTGAAACAGAGTATATGTTGTACAAACACAGAAATGCAGGGTAGGTTTGCAGAGTTCTGTCTTTGTAGAGGCAGTTGTGGTTTAAATCCGAGTAAAATTAAAAGAAGCAAAGCTTCATTTCTTTGTTGGTTCCTTGTACTTGTAGGATAACACGTCAGACATGGCTCAGATAGCTCGGAAAGGCAGCAATGTTGTGAAGAAACACAGAGAACAGAGGGAGAGAAAGAAAGCTCAACACAAACACTGGGAGTTGGCTGGTACTAAACTAGGAGATATCATGGGAGTCAAGAAGGAAGATGAAAAGGTATGTATCTCCCACTCTCTTCCAGTATCACATTCTACCCCCCCCCCCCTCTCTCTCTCTCTTTTTCTTCTCTCCCTCTCTCTCTCTCTCTCTCTCTCTCTTTCTCTCTCTCTCTTCTCTCTCTCCCTCTCTCATTCTCTCTATTTCTCTCAATTATTTACATTCCTACATGTAAGTAAAAGCTATTTTCTCTATCTATTTCGTTCTCCTCTCTACTCTCTCCATCCTTGTATTTCTTTGTTTATCTTACTCCATTTATTTGTGGGAAGTCTATCTGATTGGCAATTCTCTCTTTTTCAGTTTTGTACATGCACCTTCCTGTTGCTACCACATTCAATTTCACATAGATGTATTCAATATATCCTGCTACTTATTATACTTTTATTATTATGTTTTGGGGTTGTCCGTCCGTATGTCCCGTTCTTGTGATCGCGTTATCTCAAGAACCAATTAACGGATTCTGCCAAACTTAGGTCATGTATGTATCTTGCAGAGCTAATGAACTGATTAGATTTGGGGGTCACGCGGTCAAAGGTCACAGGGCTCATCATTTGTGCAAAAATAGCTTGTGATCGCCTTATCTCAAGAACTGATTGATGGATTCCTGCTAAACTTAGGTCATGCATGTATCTTGCAGAGCCAATGAACTGAGTAGATTGTGGGGTAATGAGGTCAAAGGTCACAGAAGCTCATTATTTATGCAAAAATAGCTTGTGAACACAATATTCTGAGAACCTTTCAATGGATTACAATCGAACTTGATTTTGAAAAATTGCTTTGTAAAATCGCTCTATGGCAAAGGCATATTAATATATTTCAAGTTTCACTCATGTTTTCTTGTGGTTCTTATGCTTTTGTTCTGCGACACTTTCATCATGCAAGGTCAAGGCCCATTCAAGATTAATACAGATTAGAATAAATATTAAATGGATATGTGAAGAAAATATATTTGTGACATTGTTCAAGTTTAAGAATTGTATGATTTCATTTGAAATCATTTAAACAGGTGTACAGACGGAAGTATATATTCATGTTTTGAATTTTTAGATAATATCCTACGAAATACAAATGATAATATGAGGTATTCTCAAATCCTACAAAGTCTCTTCTGTGAAGAACTTGCTTTTTTACAAAAAAGACTTTGAAGTAAATCCAAGCTCTTCTTCATGATACACAAATTGTTCATATTGTCACCAATCATGAAACCCCTACCCCATCAAAACTATATCAGAGGCATTTTAATGGTTAAAGGTGAAAGAATGAGCATAAGGGTAGTTGAATATGAGGTTAATCTTAATTTCCAAATGCTTGTATGAGTTTTGGCAACAAGTCTTTCTTACATTTTTTTTTGGTTTTTTGAAACTGGCAATAAATCTACAGAAGTAATGTATGATCAAATATTTACGACACTGGCATGGAATCTCATGAGAATTTACGAATACATGAGAGTACTACTACAAACTGACTACCAAAATTCCTTTGAATTAGATGATATTATTATTCCTCTATACTTAGGGGCAAATTTGCTATTAATATCAACATTCAAAAGTGATTTAGGAGTATGAAGATTTGATTTCAGTTACAAGTAATTATTGAAGTTATGAGGCACATGTACGGTACATTATGAAATTGATATCATTTCAATATTATCCTTTAAAGTTTTGATCAAAGTTCTACTATGGAAAATGTTTTTGACATCTTTGTTTATGATAATAGTGATACTAGCTTCTTGTATACATGAATGTTTGTATCCATCATGCTGTGACAATTATGGCACTTCAACGTTATTACTCCTTTTGTAGTTGAGCTACCAAAATAACTAAAAAATAACTAGCGCTTAAGCATATAATTCCCATATACACCAGGGTGAAGAGTGGCAGATGTACATGTAGATCATACTAGTGTCGGACTTGGATTCAAATCCAGTACCGGTACCTTGTGATCTGCATTCAGTTGACTTTACATCCAAGAACACAACATCTCTACCGTTATGATACATAAGCTATGATACTACTCCCCTAAACATGTGAACATTGGCTTGTTAGATTTTATTTTGTTTTCAAATGATATTTTATTTGGTACTCAAAACAGTTTAACATGATATAATGTAATACAGAGTTGTGACATGATTAATGAAAACAATATTATAAAAGCATTCTATTACATCTGTTAAAACAGGAAATCAATATTTTAAGGAAAGAGAAAGGGACATTTCATGAATGAAAACAAGTAACCTGAACGTTCGTTTGAATTTATAGTGCTTAATTGGTGTATTCGCGAGTGGACCCCACTTCTTGACATGTACATTTACTTTTCTATGTCGTTTTGCTATGTAAAGCTCTTTGTTGTATGATCTTGATAAATTTTTTTTAAAGGTAATACAAAGTTTTGGTATGGGGTCATGAATTTGGTTCAAATGAACATATTGGAAGCATATGTGATCCTAAAATATTCAGTGATCGTTGTCGCGGTTGAAATCGAGTCTAAAGTTATGAAATTGTCAATAATAAGCTCTTCATGTTGTATAGCTCCCTCTCAAGGTCAAGATATTAATTAAGCTATCAAACAATGTTTCTTGACTAAAATCGACCGATTAGCTATTCCCGTTTGGAAATTATATATCACAACTACATATTCTGTGATTTTCATGGTCGCAGCTACAGTTGTACGACCGTAGGCGCTATTTGAAATTCATCAACATTTACCGGGAGCACCGGTAAATGTTTATATTCAATTTTTCTCAAAAGCAGAATTGTTTTAGGGGCTAAGTTTTGTTGTGCCCTTAATACATCCACAGGGGCAACCAAATATATCAAAATTGTAAAGAATCACTATCCACCCAATTTTCGAAATTTCCCAAAACTTTGTATTACCTTTAAATAAAGACATACTTTGATATGCACTAGTACATTTGCTTTAATATATATACATTTCTTAGCTATAACTAAAATGTGATTTATAAGCATTTTAATTTTGTTTGTAAACTTTTCTAATACCCCTGTTATCACCGTCTTGTCATTAAGTAAAGAGAAATCAATGATATCAAGAAACAACTTTACATCATTCCAAAATATTTGTGTGACTTTACAGGTCCACATAATGTGTTTGACTGTTTCATATTCAGGGCATCCAAACTAGCATAAAGGAGACAAAACCATTTCATTTTATATAGCTTATAGTTCAGTGCCAAAATATCATTTAATACCTTGTATTGAAATTCTCTTGTTTTTGTATATATTGAAGTTTGAACTATTAATTGGCGTGCTTTGTATATGTCTTGTTCGGACATACCAAATCTATTTTGCAATCGAACAGTACTTGCTGGTCTTTCATATTTTTTAATTTATTAGTATCTTCTAAAAATGTCTGCTCTTAAGAACTGGTATCAGTCAAAAACATTCAGGAATGATAATTATCTCTTTTGCTTCTTCTTTAAGTTCTTCATTTAACATTTTTATATTAAAATTTTTACTGTTTTTGACAGCATTATAGGTACATTGAATTCTAAAAAAATCATTGAGATCAATATCAAATTCGTTCTTCAATGACTGGAAGGTTTTACAAGGTTTTTTTATCAATTTTGATATTACAATTATTCCATACAATCTGTGTTCTAAAGGGTTGGTCTGTTAGCATTGTAATCAAAAGCCATTTCTCTAAGAGTAATCTATAAAATGCAGGCATATTCACAGAGATATTTTCAACTTCATAATTGCAGTTAAACAGAAAGAGTCCACTATATTTCTTTACATAGTAATTAAGGACATGGTACCAAACCTGCAGGTTTGTTAGATTTAACGATGAAAAACAAACCCTTATATTTCAATTTCAAGATTCTTTAATACTACTACTACTACTGATAATAAAACAGTGCTTAGACTACCATACATATGTGAACATTGGTTTTCTAGGCGATGGAAAACAAACCCTTATATTATCTTTCAACATTCTAATAAGAAAAAAGATGATATAATAATTTTCAAAAACTGTTAATGTTTGTTTATGTGTTGAAATCTACAAATGCAATAGCTTCACTTAATCATTTATAGCAAAGAAGGAAGACACATTTGATATAAATTTACCAAAAGATTTAGAGTTCATAATTCCTCTAGATGTCTCGAAAGTTATAATGGCATGATAAGTCTGTGGGACGCGTGTTCCACGGTTTAAATGATAGCCAACAAAAATGAAGAAGTTGAGACGCCATGGTGAAGTGCAATGAAGCTTATTTCGTTTATAAATAAAAACGGAAACCCCTGCATTGTACAGAAGATAAAACGAAAGCATCATAAGTACAATAATCACATAATTAAATCATGCAAGTCATCATAATTGATTGTGATTGAATTTCTGTAGACAAAATGCAGTTCAGTTCAGTTCAGTTCATAAACATTGAAATGCAATTAAGAAACCAAGAAATAAATACATAGTATTCAATATTATCTGTAAATACATGTATAGATATCAAACAGTCATGACTCCAATCAATATTATTGAATACATAACATAAATATTCCTACGCAACTCACCCTAGACTTAATGTCACACGGGTAAGAAAAATCATACGTCATCGTCGATTGTAGCTTTGTAGCGTGGTTTGTATAAAGAAACCTCAAGTTACGCCTCAGCGGCTGTATAAATGGTGCAACACAAACAGGCTAAATTGACGGCAAAGCTTAAGTGTGTCGGAATGAGTAAATGGAGACAACCAGCTTCGCTTAAAGCAAGTGAATGAATGACCGTGGTATAAAATGCCCATCAGGGCCTTGCCTGACATAGCGCGCATTCGTAAGGACTACTTTTCGAGCATGAATGCACATCCTTCTGAACTAAGTATAACAATCAAGTTTAGGATAGAACAATAAAACATACATGAGAAAATATCATAATTTCATTACGGTCCATTTAACTTTACCTACAAACAATTTATAGATAAATAATCAAGGGACTACTTTGTCCTTAACGTAAGTACACAGACCCACGTGACCATTAAAGTAATA